AGTACAAAGCTCGTTGAAATCGTCTAAAACTTAAGTGATGATTATTTCTTTTTCGGGTTCGTTTCAATTGAAAACGAACAACGTATAAAAACTGACACACAATGAAATAATTTGCTCATATCTTTTATCAATTCACAGTTCATTCAATTGATGCAGATGAACATGATTCGCTTTCTTTTTTCTTGAGTTAATGCACACAAATCAATAAAAATAAAACTTTTTTGTCGAAACCATTTATTCATCGTGTTTTTTGTTGTTGAAAAATGAGTTTACGCAAACAAAAATTGTGCTCCATTTGATGTGTTGATTTGATTTGCAAGTGTATGAGAGGCTGTGGGAAGTTGTAAAAATTTAAAAATTCAAACATATGCTAATTTTGTTTTTGTTTTCTATGAATATGTTTTATTTTATACAATAATGGACAACCACTTTATTTACATTTTCTAATGCATTTGTATAATCTGAAGAGAGAGATTGCATTTTCTCTATAATGAGTTTGTTGTGTATTTGGTATTGTTGTTTTGTTCGTATTTTGGTTTTGAATTTTTTTCGCTTTTTTTCCGAACATAGAAAAAATTCTTGCACTGACTTATCAGAGTGAAACAGTGTGAGTGTGCAAAAATTGTTATTTTGTTTTAAGCAAATGATTTTGTCTGTGCACCATATACATTCATCTCGTAAATATTTTAGCCAATTTATATATTATTACCAAATAGTGTACAATATTTTAGATTCTTTTGTCACATCTGCAGATATTTCATCAGCACTGCTAATGGAAGAGTGTATAAGTTAATTTGATTTGACCAAAAATAAATAAAATAGAAAATCATGAATATAAATGCATTAAGAATCAACATCTAATGCGACTGCATGCATTGTTCTTGAGCGCTTTCGCTCTCTTTATGATGAGAGTGATCGCGACCAAGAACAACTATATCAAAAGTTGTGTTGCGCTCTAAATTTCTGTCGTACATATACAACACAAAGAAAATATGAAAAATAATTTGAAAAACTGCGCAACAGCTAATGGTCAAAAATCATCTAGTTGCCAAAATGTTGCACTGTTTTTGGGATGCATATTCAAAATGCCGGTGAGGTTGAAATTATTTTATATACATTGTATTTTCTTATGTTAGTTTGCAGCATGGGACAATTCGTTTCTACATCTAATACAAAATACAAAAATATTTTTTTTATTTGTTATTCTTTTCTTTTAATCGATATTAGTATTTAATTTTCTCTTCTTTTTATTTCTTACATTACTAAAAATGTTATGCTTTGTGAGTGTGTGTGCATGTGTATTTTAATCTCTTTTTCTATTGTCTAAAATCCTAATCTAAATCTATACAAAGTGTGTTTATCCATTTGTTTTCAGATTCAGTTGCAAGATTTTAATTTTTCGTCTATGTGTGTGTGTGTGTGTGTTTGGTTTGTAATTTTTGTAAAAATGTTTTGTAAGCTATAAATAATTTTAAATATTCAGTACTCTAGATCATTGTGGTTGTTGTTCTCACATTTGTGTGGTTTCCATTTTATCGACAATAAAAATTTGTAATTTATTTGTTTTGGTTTCCACTGGTGTTAGTATTGGTGTGGGTGTGTGTCTGTGTGGAAAGTCCAATAATTTTTTTTTATTTCTTGCATCTTTGTGGACAATGTTAGTTAATATGATTGAGGATTGTATCTAAGCTTAGGTGGAAATCAGGAATTTTCTTTGTGTTAGTTACAATGCAGTAAAATGTATTTTTATCCCAATAAAAAATAGACTATATTGTACCCAGTCAGATTATTTAAGTAAATTGCATTCATTCAATGACACCAACATATAAAATTATTCAGCCAGAAAAAAATAAAAAATGCACTCCCTGTCTCATCTTGGGGGTGGATATTTTACAAACATTTTTTTTTTATTGTGTCTGGCTTCTGTCCAGAACGATTTCACCAAGTGAAATTAATAAGAAACATAGCAACATGTAAACTGGAATTACCGATTTTATGGCGAATTTTACGATTCCATTATCGAAAATTTTCCATTTTGGATTATTTTTTCTTTTCGTCTTTTCATTGCGTGGTCATTTGGTAACGAATACAAAAGTAAACTCCATCATTTCCTGTGATAAAGCACTCTTTAGATTGTGCGAGAAATCGGCTTTTTGAATAGAAAAAAGAATCAGCAGGTGTTTTATAAATAACAATAGAACTTTTCAGATTTCATTTTTCATTGTTCCTTTGTGGTTTTTGTTCTGAATCAGATAAGCCCCGAATAATTCGTATTGATCAATTTTCATCACGCCCATACTGAATCGGATCCATCCGCCATTTTAATATCGTATTTTTAAGTTACTTCAGGTTCTTTATAAATATTACGATTATATGCGATTTGTTTTTTTTTTTCTTTGATTGAAAAATAAAAGCTACACTTGTATTCTGATTATATTATCTAAATACGATATTGAAACATATAGAATTGAATGGTTATTTCCTTTTTTTCCGTGATAAGTATTTAGTTTGTATAATCATATAATTTTAGAATCACCACACTTTTGTCACTCTCTCTAAAAAAAATCATATTAGTTGGTCATGTATTGCATAAACATATTTGCCGTAAATTTAGCGTTGACGTGTGTGTATTTTATTTGCTTTCATTGGAAAACTATTGTTTAATTTTGATTTGAGATTGTAGAATCACGTATAAAATTAATTTAAGTTTGAAAATCGCCACGATACTATTTTCGTTGGGCGCAACAATTTCTTGGGACGTTCCATATAAATATAAATACTTTTCTTCAATAAAAATGAGTTATCATTATTCAGGGTAGCATTTTAATCATTTATATAACACTTAATTCGTTGATTAGGTTTTTGAAGTGGAAAAAATATGCAACACCAAAAACACCGTAAAAGTTTAAGTTCAATCATTTTTTTTGTACATTCATGAATGAATATGGTTAGGATTTTGCAATATGTTGTTAATGATCATACTTTTAAAAATATTTTCCACATTAAATTATTTTTTGTCACATTCACGATTAAATTTGTTTATTTTGTGTTATTTAAAAACAAACTTGTACGATTAATTTTTGTTTTGGACAATTGATTAAATATGCGAAATGTGTGTTTGCTAAAGTTATTTATGACATACAATTATTTTAATGTATATATATTTGTAATTTCAATAAATTTTGTATTTAATTAAGCATTTTGTCATTTTACCAATTCAATGTTGAAAATGTAACGAATCAATGTTATTTAAATTTTACGATTAAAAGCGAATGATGTGAAACCCAACAGAATACAGTCCAATTACATTTACTTACAATTAATTTATTTGTATTTTAAATAATTGAAATGGAAATGCCGATTGCAAATCAAAAATGATTTTACGAATAGATTGTGAATTTGTGGTCGAATTTTTATGAATTGCTACGTAGTGACACGAGGGGCATAACACTGATTTTTGTTTTGATTTTGATTCGATCAGCGTTTTGTGTTGCGCGTTTTTAAGATCACGAGTATGAAGCTATGTTCGTTAATATGGTAATAAATATTGTATCATTTAGTAAGATGTAGGTTTTCAGTCGTCTGAATAACATTATAAAATCGTTTAGTTTTGTAATTTCAATGTTTTTTTGTTGTTGTTGTTGTTTCTACATATATTAAAAAACCAAGGCCACACAATTTTTTCTTGTTTTTTTTTTTCTTATTTTTTGAGTATTAAAAACAGACCATTTTTTTATGTTGTTGTTTGCTCGTAATTGTTGGTTTGTTTGTATGAACGCCATTTTTTGTATGCGTTACTTTTTCCTTAATAGTATCACTTGTAGTTTCAATTTGAAGCAAATTACAAATTTAAGAGAAAATAAAAACCAATATAGTGTCGAACGGAAAGAAAAACAAAACTCTTTCGAACAAATTTAATTATGTAAAATGTGAAAATCTAGTTGGTTCGTTATTATTTATAATAGCTATTATCGTCGCTGGGAACTTTGCGTGTTTCATTATGCATTTTTATAAAAGCTCTTAAGTTCGGTTCGCTATAGTTAATATGTGGAATAAGAGTACAGCATAAAATGCCATTTTGCTCATTATTTCAAGATGTGTATATGCACGAAATGATAACTGAATGTGTCAGAATAAAAATCCGACACAAGTCTGAGCTCTGCCTGTTGAATTAATTCAACTGGCTCAAAATGTCTCAATATCTCCGAAATAGATGAAACCAAATCAAGAGGAATCAATTTTTAAACGAAACACTCGAAGAAAGATGCATGCAATTTTTTGTGTGAATAAGTGAGTGAGTTTATGCATTTTGTTAGTCTATTATTGTTTTAGCACTTACAATTATGATAAAAATGTGTATTTTTCTTTTATTTTTTTTATATATAAACGTACTGCGTTGTCATATTTTTGATTAGAAAAATTTCTACATTTTTTTTAACGTCATCCAGTTTGATAGAATTTCGAGCTGGGGACGAAAATTATGACAGAAGTGAAATTGTAACCAATCAAAAATCATATAAAAAAAGCGTGTTTGAAAAAAAATGTTTTCAAATAATGGAACTGAAAATAAAATGATGGAAAAAAAGAAACAAAAATGTGGTAGTAGTAGAATAAAAAAAAAAAGTGTCTGTGTATTTGTTTTCGATTATTTACATAAATTTGAAAATTGTGTTGTCATAATAATTGTTTGTTTGTATTTTAAACTTTTTCATACGTATTTATAATATAAGTGTGTGTTTGTGTGTGTGTATGTGTTTTTTTCTTTTATTAAATCAATTTGTTTTCATATAATATAGATGTGTGCTTAAATAATATTTCATAAAAATGTCATCAGTGTTATGTAATATTGTGTAATTTTCACGTTTCATTTTCATTTGTTACTTTGTAAAACATGTTCATGTCACTCTTAAAATCTATCCACAAATTATTTTTTGTAAAACGATTTTGTCCGCCGACACACATCCTGTGCAATATGTATGTACACAGAAAGAGACTCGTTAATTTTTGTTTTGTTTTTTTTTTTTTTTTTCAATAATAGACTTGAATCGTGCATAGCGCGCTACTAAATTTGTGCTAGCACATTTCCTTTCTGACGCTGTATCGCATCCATTCATTCAGATAAATCTTATATGTTCATTTGTTGTTGTTGTTTTTTTATTAGTTTTTCTATTCTAGGTAATATTAGTTATAAAAATCACCATTATAATTCATATATAGTTTAATTTGTTATTGTTTGTTTTGTGTCTACATACTAAAGTACAATTTCAATTATAAACGTTGTTTTTTTTAAATGTTATTTTATTTTGTTAAATTTGTTGTTGTTGTATTGTTGATTTGTTTAAATTTAGAATTAATCGTATGAGCGAAAAATTGTCAACAAACACACGCATTATCGAAAGGAAACACGATTTATATAAAATGCGATCATACGTGTACAACCCTGGGTCACATCTACTCATTTATAATTTGTATGATTTATTTCTTAATTTTTTGTTGTTGTTGTTTTTATTTTTGTTTGGCCATATAGCTATAGCTTTGATTTTGATAAATTCTAAATTCAATGCATTTGAATCCAATGCAATGAATATATGGTGAGTAAAATTTGTATCACTTAAGTAAAGACCCACTAAATAATTGTCGCCAATTTATTATGTTAAAAAAAGCAATTATCCCCTTCTAATTTATTAAATAATAATGAACGAATAAAGTGTGAAAATTAATTTGTCTAATAAAAAAAAGATAATAAAGAAATAAAAAGTGTTTTTTTTTTGTTCAATAATGATTTCGTGCTACTTTTTTGAAGTTCCACTTAACTTCTATATCCTATGTAATTTCATGTAAGTGTTTCATTTCAACCGTTCTTTTTTGTTTCACATTTCGATAGAATCCATGCAAATTATTGTTTATTGTTGTTTTTTTTTTCTCTTTTTTCATAAGGCAAATATACAAAATAAAGTACATAAAACATATTAATTTATTATATATTCTGGTTGCTAATCTATTTGTCTGTATTATTCCGCAATAGTTTAGAATGTGCCTTGTGAGTGTAGGTGTTTGTATATATTTATGTATTCGTTTAACCAGAGATTGGAATCTTTTTTAGTTTTTTTTTTCGTCCATTAAGTGCGGATTATATTGTATAAACATAAAACATTAAAATAAATTCATACGATAATTGAATAAAAGAAGTAGAAGAAAATTCCCTACGTTTAAGCCAAGAACATGGAGCACGGTAGACATTGATTCATATAAATTCACGATTAAGAAGAACTAGAAATATAACATTTGTTGTTGTTGTATATTTTCTTTCATTTAATAAGAAAAAACAAACGGTCAAGTCAAATATATTACATATATATGACAAAGAATCAATTTGACTGAATATTTAGCTAGGATAGTTTTTTTTCTTCTTCATTTGTTGTGATTCACCCAAATTTTAATTGTTAAATTGCCATTAAAATATTTTTAAAAAAATCAAACAAAATGGGTTTTTTGATTTTGTAAAGGCTGATTTTGTATTACTATGACATGGAAGATGTATCCCATTTCATTTGTAATAATAGTTCATGAAAATCGTATCGTTGGCTTCGCAAGACGAAATTCATAATTGTATCGTTATTGCTGACACTCGTATTCTAATGTGCGGAAGCTATCAGAATTGGCCTGGCATGCATTGTAGCAAAGCTTCTACGATAACTAGAGCTCCGTTGCCAATCGAATTTTGGATGCGAATTTAAATTCAGCTATTTCCAAACTAATTATAAGTTGATTGCTATAATGGAATTGAATAACAAAAAAAACCATCTTACTAGCTACTATTCAGTCAGATTCATTCTCCGATATATATATAATACTTTAAAGACTCTCTCTCAATTTTTTTTGTTGAATTAATCTTTATATTGGATAAATATTAGTCAATTAGCAGTTCGTTTTTTTAAAAACCTAATATTCGATATATAGCTCAATACATGTATGGTGTATGTGTGTGTGTGTAGTCGCATAATAATTGTTGTTTAACGATTATTTTTCATATGTGATTCGTAAATCATTTCAATTGAGATTTTTAATTACAAAACGGCTATTGGGAATTGTATTGAAGGGGCAGCATTCATGAATTGTATAAACGACATTTTGTGTATGTGTTAATAATAACTTCTCATTCAAATACACCGAAATATGCTCTAACCATATGTAATTTTTTAAAAAGTTTTTTTTTCGTTTGTTTGTTGTTAAAAATCGTTAGACTTTCTAAACTATATAATATTTTTTTTTGTCTATAAAATCACACAAATTATCTTGTTTGTTTCTTTTGTATTTGAGTTTTAATAGTAGGCAGATTAAATTTTAAGTTTTTTCGCCATTTATGTATTTTGGCATTTTGTTATTTTGTCACTGATGTTAAATTACCGCTCCAATCGTTTCAGTATTATTAATTTTTTTTAGTTCAATCTAATTAAAAAAAAACCCTAATCTTTACTATATTTATACCAGAGACCTTTGTTTTTTTTTTGTTCCATCTCTTTCTTCTCAATACAACAAGCACACAAATATAGTTTTGGAATTGGGATGACTATGAAAAAGAAGGATTCCATCAAATGTAGGGAATATTTATTCATATTTTATAATTTTAATGGCTTCACAACATTTCGATTTACTTTGCATTTTTGTTCAATTTTTTTTTTTGCGAAATGCATTGAAATGTACAGAATTTAAGCGAATGACAACAAGAAAATGAAGCAATATTTTTTTGTTTATATGAACGATAAAATTGAAAGAAAACTATTCGTTCTTTGTATCGAATTGTCTAAACATCAAATTTTTCTGTATATTTTATGTTTGAAGAAAATCATTGAAATTTCTTGTTTTTTTCGTTAGATTTCGATTAGTATTTTAGTTGGTTTTTACCTCCGAAAAATCCCTCTTTTTGTGAAAGAAAGTAAGTAAAAAAAAAACACAGAGATGGAGAAAATTGATTAGAATGAATTTGACGCATAAGTAAATCCTACCATATTGTATAAATTGCGCTAGAGAACCGCATGAAGAAAGAGGAGAAGAAGGAGTAAATTAAAATTGATAAGAATACACATTCGTGAAGAATACACATCAATGGTAATATTATTTTCACTGTCAACTATTCCTATTATCTAGCTGCAGTATTTTGTTTTTAAAAAAATGTGTAATAATAACAAAGAAAAAAATACACAAATATATATATTATATATAATAATCGAGAACAAAAAAAAAGAAAGAAAAAAAAATCTAAAGAAAGTATCTAACCCTTCTGTTTAATGTCATTCATTTTTAGTAAGTTTTGATGTTGTGGTGTCAATTGATTTTGCTCACTTGATGGAAACAATGTTGGTTTTGGTAGAATGGTTTCATAAATTTTTGTAAAATGTGCAATACACACACCACCACTCAGGAAATACACAAAGAAAAGCATGGATGGGTGTGTATCAACTTATATTGAACGTGTTTGCAAATGCAACCAAACCAACAAATACACCACCTTTGTTTACATCAAAGCCAAAGCACAAATCGGTGTAACATTTTTATAGTTACATCGGTCATTGTTAGATACTTTACAGCCTTCACCACATATATTACAAACTTGAATATAATGTGTAGATTTATTGAATTAAATTGAAAAAATTGAATAGTTTGTTGTTTTTTTTTTTTCATTGATGATGATTTAACTACTATTTGTTTCTCACATATTTGGCAAATTATAAGCCCTTTGTATGCGTGCACATGGTAAGAATTTTACCATTTATTTCCATTGAATTTGATATATTTTCATGAAGATATCGAATGAAATGTTTCTTTTTTGATGGGCTAGCGGCTAGCCAGTTCACGTGCATTTTTGCCACTAAATTCACCCGATTTTGTTTGTTTTCGTAAATTCACAAGAAACATTAATTAATAATAATGCGAGATACACGTGAATTTCAATCTAAACGATTTTTTTTTATCTATTCTATCTATTTCACGGTATACATCCACTGACTAACGTATAAAATATAAGCATAACCATGTTTGATCTGATTTGTTTTTTTTTCTTCATTTCTGTGCTTTCGCTTTCTCTCATTTCGTTGTAAATGCACAACGTTTCTCTATCAACATACACACACTCACACACGTTTTTAATTATTAATTTGTTTCAGTTTCATCATCATTTTTGTTTTCATTTAATATAATAATTAAATCCTTTAAAATATTCTATGCATGTGTGCAAGTACATTTAAATTGAACTCTCTTTGTATTTTTTATTTAAATCGTTCTAATAATGTTGTTTTTGTTTTTCGTAAGTTCTTTGTAGTGTTTCAAAATTCTCTCATGCTAATAGTAAACAAATAAAATGATATTACTTCATATAACATTCGTCTCTGCTGTTTTTTTTTTTTTTTTTTTTTTGTTACTGATGTTGTTGTTTTCTCGATAAATCCCGAGAAATGATTTTAAATCGAGATTCCTCAACAAAGCGAGGAATGTTGTTAATCTTTGGATTCTTCTATTCCGATAGCTCGTGATTTTCGTGTAATTTAATGGAGTCGTTGTTTGTTATAGTCTCGTTTTTGTTTTAAAGCACATTTAAGATGGACACAATTTGGGATGTTTTAATTCATTTGTTGGGCATATTGTTCGTATGTCAAATGAATTGAGGTCTTGTGTTCTATTCCGCAAACCATAAATTAGCCGGTTGATAATGTCCATGCTTGGTTGGCACTTGAGGACTCAATGGACCGAATTGGCTATATTGGGCTGGAAACTGAATATGCGCTGGCAATGGATGATGTGCCGGTAAAACCTATACAAAACAAAAAATAAACATTTTAATCACTTAATGCCAAAGAAAATGGACGAGAATTGAGTAGACGAAATTGAAATTTACTTGACGACTTGATCCATTGTGAGCTGGTGGTGGTACGACACGATTGTAATTTTGATAAGGAGCTTGTGATACAAACACAGTTGGACGTCGATACACATCGCTTTGTGCATACGTGAAATCTTGTTGTAAGATTCCTGGTGAACCTCCAAGCGGCGTATTCGATTGATGTGTTTGACGATACATAGGCGCTCTAGAAATATAATTTTTGGTTTTGTTTTTTATCATAGGATTGTGAGTCAGTACTCGCATAAAATGTAATGATTGATTTGTTTTTTCAAACTTACTTGCAACCTATTTGCGGTGGGGCAACTTGTTGTGAATACGATGGAACTGATTCACGTTTATGATTATGATTGTTATGGGCTGGTGGTGCCCATGATGAACGTTTTTCAACGACCACTTGTGGATAGTCATTGATTTCGCCGTATTTTGACATATCGTTACTATACTGAAGTTCAGTTGGTTCTTGTTTCGGCAACAATTGATTTGACGACGAAGATGCAGCCGTTGACTGGGCAGCACGCGATGATGATGGCTGGAAATGGTAAGTTATACAGTTGATTTAATTGTAATTGTAAATGTGCTAAATATTCAATTTGATTTTTCAAAAATTACCTGTTGTTGCTGCTGCTGTTGTTGTTGTTGCTGTTGCTGCTGCTGCTGTTGTTGTTGTTGCTGCTGCTGCTGAATTTGTTGGCTACTATGTGCTTTTTCATTGCATTGTGTCGTAGCCAGAGTACAATGTCGTTGTAGGAAATTACGTTTCGGCACCAAATGTTTGGAATCGGACGAATTTTGTTTGGGCGTACAATGACGATCTTCATTGTCACTATCACCAACACTCACACACGAAATGACATTTTTCCGTTGTCGATTTCCATTGTTATTGGCATTATTATTCGAATTGTAATTGTTGACATTGTTGCTCGTATGATGTGTTTGAGCATCATGCGATTGGGTTGCATTGTTTGCATTTGCACCACCATATGTTGATGGTTGACATTGCCATCTCATGTTATTCGCATTCGATTGACATGATGACGATGAGGACGAATTTTGGTTTCGTTGATTGTTCGTCGCTTTGGACGCATGCTTGATTTCCGGTAGTTCGTCTTCACTATCGGAAATCGTTATCACGGCGGTGGGAGATGGGGTATCGTGGATTGTAATTGTTTGTTGTTGCTGCTGCTGTTGTTGTTGTTGTTGTTGTTGCTGCTGCTGCTGCTGTTGTTGTGGTTGCTGCTGTTGATGGTGTTGTGTTTGATGCTGGAAAATAAACAAAAATGGATGTGATTAAATTTGATAAAGATGTGAGAGTGTATTTGATTAAAATCGATTGAAATGTGAAGTAGATGGTGATGCGATTCAACTTACAACTTGTTGCTGCTTCAAACTGTTGTGGCTACTCGAATGGCTGAGTGGCATCGAGTTATTGTTTGTATTCGAGTACGAGGTATGTGGTTGCGTAATTAGCTGACTACTCGACGTATTTTGATGGTGTTGCAATTGATGGCCATGATTGTTCATGCTGTTTGCATTATTGTTGTTATTGCCACTGTTTGTATAATAATTTATGTGATTGGAGCTCGGGTGATATTGTGGCGATACATGCGCACGATTGTATCGTTGTTGATGCGGTGGGGAATTTTCCTTGACTCGTTTCTTAACTGGTGATAGCTGATTTGTTTCTTTCTTATCGTGACGCGGTACACTGCAATTGACGCAAATTGAATGGTGATATGAGTTAGACATAGACTTTATTTAGCTTATTACGAAATCTAAAGAAAACAAGATATAGCAGAAATAGAAAAAAAATGACACTAACGGTAAATGATGTACTGGCGATTCTTTCTTGAGTTCGTGCCGTGGCAAATTCAAGTGATGCTTCGGATAAATTTCTTCCATATTAAGAAATGGTGCTGAGTCAACGATCAAAGAATGTGAAGCAGCTTGTTGTGACCATGACGGTACCAACACTTGTCGTCCACCTTGTGGCCATGCCACAGTATTTGTTTGTACACGATTTGTAAGCAACATACGTTGCGCTGATGTTGGTTCCACCATTGAAACAGGCACCGGAACATATTGCTGTGGAGGCACCTGAAGTGGGGCTGTACCACCAACTACAACATGCTTTGTCGGACTTGGCATCGTCTGATATCCCGGCTGACACAGTATGCTTGACATCAATTGATGCGGGAATTCGTTACGAGTATTCGTATATTGACGGCCAACATTTCGGCCACCATAGATTTGATAGAGATTATCAGCATAGGTAGCGGTCGGTCGGTCCCGAACCAATCGTTGAACTTGATTCGATAGTTGATTGTTTATCGTGAATGTCATATTTTCGGTGGTGTTTGGTACAAAGTTTGATACCAATGCTGAACTTGGTTGTACGGTATGGAAATCGGCACGCCGACACACTTCCATCATTTGTACAGATGCCTTGACATTATTGCAATGCGCATAATCAACCAAATGTGTTAATGTGGTAAAAGCATGATTTAATGCTTCAGCCGGTGTGATGCGACGCTCTTGATCAATAGTTAACATACGTTTTAGCAAATCAATAAATTCGCGACGATCCGTTTTTTCGGCAAGTAATTGTCCTTCCAGATCGGTTGGTACATTCACTTGACCAATGTCATCTAAACAATTGAAAATATATTTGCGAGCTTCTTTGCTTTTTGTATTTGTTTCGGCTTCATGTTCTTCGGGTGTTTTTAAGCGCCAAAATGGATACGTTGAATCGACATCACGATAAAAGAATTTTGCCGTTTTACTAGCACTATTCAACATATTCTCCGTTGGTAAACCCTGCGTTTGCGATATGTATCTATGTAGAAATGAAAAATGAAACTCTTAGTTTGATGACATATGAAAGCACTCTTGAAATTAAACAGTGTAGGTGCAACTCGCGTATAATTTTCAATTTTAATCTATCAAGTGGTCAGTGCTTACCTGATTTGATCGTATTCAGACGATCCAGGATACAACGGCCAACCGAGAAACAATTCAGCCACAACACACCCCAGTGACCACATATCAATTGCTTCACAGAACGGCAAGCCCAAAATAATTTCTGGTGCACGATAGTAACGCGATTGCAAATACGTATTGCATACGGTTTTGCTAACATGCGATGCACTTCCAAAGTCGATAACTTTTACCCTGAAAATAGAAAATGCCAAAATTTATAAATAGATTACGACGGGTGTGACCATTTCTTTTGCCATTTTCTCCATCATTTTTCATTTTGTTTTCATTTTTGTGCAGCCATAACTGGTTCGTTTGGCTAATGGTATACATTTATCAGTGGTTTACTTCCAATTAATGAATTTATTGGTTAGCGGCCTGTGGAAATGTGTATAAATATCAATATGAATGTTAGTGTTAACGTACCTGTACGGTTGTCTTGCTGGATCAACCAACATGATGTTTTCAGGTTTTAAGTCGGCATGGATTAGTCCAAGTTGCTTTAATTTTAACAAAGCAGTTAAAACCTGCCACGACGATAATCGCATAAAAGAAACCGAAGAGAAAAAGAAAATGAATGAGAATAAAAAAAAAAATTGGATAAAAAACGGTATTGAAAAATAAGATAAAGCGATTAAGACTTTAGTAGTTTGTCGGCGCCAGCAAACGACTTTTTCCACAATTTTATTTTATGCTTTATTTCTATCACAAACATAAACTCAAACTTAATAAACTGTGCAAAATTATTGTTATTAAATTAATGAATGAACGGTTGGATGGATGACATCATCTTACCTGCTGTAAAATTGGTCGAATGAATTTCAGCGGCAGTGGTGAAAATTTGTTCTGTTTGAGAAAATCGTATAAATTCTGTTCAAGCATTTCGAATACCAAACACGTATGGTTTTTATGCTGGAAGCATTCGAATGCACGAACAAAATTAAATTCGTCGGCATTTTCTTGGCTGAGACGTGATAGGATGGATACTTCAATTTGGCCTTGTCGAGCGTATGATGGATGATTTTTCAGGATTTTTATAGCAACGATGTCATTGGTTCCACGTTTCCAGCATTTCACCACTTGACCAAATGTGCCACGGCCCAAGAACTCCAGCACCTACACAAAATGAAAAACAAAAACGAATTAGAACAGAACAAGCAATGTACAAAAGTGAATCCATATATTGAACAAAGTTGAAATAAAATAACAGAAATCAAATTGATCAATCTAGTTTGCATATTCAATCAATTTGGTTCGTTTTGACGTTCATTCTGAATAGCTAATAAACTAATTAAATATTCTCGATATTTCTTCATAGGAACGCTTCATGAATAGAAACCATGCAAAAATGGGAAGCCTTCGATTGTTTGTAAACAAAAATCGTATCGAACGCAAACGAAACAAAAAAATAATAATAATCTTAATTTACATCCGGCACGGGATAAACGGCCAACGAGATTGTAAGAATTTTCTCTTATTTTCAATTTCAATCGGAATTCATGGAACTGCTATAATTTCCATTTTCATTTCTTACGATTCCGATAAACAATCGTGTTCAATTTGCAATAGAGAGTTATAAATAGTATATTGAAACAAAACAAAACAAAATTTATTTTATTAAATTGAAAAGCCAACATTCTTCTTCGTATTTCAGTCAATCACAATTTAATATTTGCAATTAAATTAAAGACAGGCGCCATTTTTTTTTTTTGACTCGCTTCGCAGCGCAACAACGATGCTTTTGTTTGTATTTTTGGTGAAAAACTTTCACTTTAACTTGTTGGCGCGCATCTTTGCATTTTGTTTTCGATGTGCATAGCATTGTGCATTGGATTGCAAAAATATCCTCACTGAATACAGATGTAAGCAACAATTTATAGCGTTGAAAAGATGTGCGACACTCTTTGAAATGAGCAATTTATAAAGAATGTCGATTCTTTTTTTCCAGCAGTTCAGTTGGGTGTAACCATTAAAATACGTGCATTACCCGAAGGGTAAAAAAACTGCATACGATTACCACACCATCATCATTATAATCTCTAGAATTTTTCTAAAGACTTATTTTAAACAATATACAGTTCATGCATCGCAAATTATGTGTGGTCAAACTTCCTAAAATTCGAATAAATAGTTTTTTTCTTGTTTCTATCACTAGAGCGTTTGTGTGTGATGCTTTGAAATAAAACAAAATGCACAAACTATAATTTTGTATATTGCTAAAGTGATAGTGAATGGGAGTATGACTATCCGTTGTTTTCTACGTTCAAACACCTTATGGCCAGATGTGCATGTTTAAATGGCCATTGAAACATATCAAAAACTCAGGAAACTTTTGTAAAATTCATGTGAATCATAATTAGGGCCTTTTTCATATCGAAGTTTTCATCTTAATGAAGCCATTTATCCGCATTTACTTAAAAGCGGGTTGAATGCAGTTTCAAATTGGGTTGATAACGGGATGGGGAAAGAGAAAGAGCAACAGCAAAAATAAAACAAATTTAATTGCATTTTTGTGATATGGAAAGGATTGTTGCAAAATAGTTTAGATGCTTGAATTTATTTATGAAATGTTAATGGACAATGCTGATTAAAATTCCGAGAGTTTGCTCTTCCCCGTTGGCTTTTTTTCGATGTTAAACTGCTGTTTGCAGTGAAAATATCGTGCTTCAGAGTCAAGAATTTTCATAAATGAAATCGTATTATAAATAACGCTGTGTCCTTTTATGGTTGTGGCCATTATTGATATGCAATATAATTTCCAGTGGGAAGAAAATGCGTTTTTATTGCTCATGAAAAAATATGTGTATATTTTCACGTCGTTTGTTCTTATTTTGTGTGATTTACGCTGCGAAAAACGAAATTGCTGAATGACGTAGTACATTCTTTTCGTGAAACCCAGACGTACAATAGATTTTAATAAAACTTGAAAAAACTAAAGTAAAATCAAACAGATACCACATAGAACTGCGTACTCGTTTCATCGTCGTGAGTTTTTCGGTCGATAGAATTTCGTACATTCAATGCACAACGGAATAATACTTGTATTTTTGTGAGATTTAAAGTATTTCTTTTGATGATACAGTTAATCAAGTCAAACAAACATTTTTATTATGATATAAAATGCGCACAAACATTACAACGTTTTCCATTTAACGACAATCGATTCGTTTGAAAACGTGTGAACTATCTAATTCGTTGACTTTGTTGATGATGTGCTCAAGAATGAATATAAGTAATTTGTATAGAATTGATAATAGATCGATCGAGAAGAGGGCATGCGCTAGAGAGAGATAGATACACACATACACATAGGAGCGAGAAAGGGGAACGAGACAGAAATAGAATAAATGCGTGCCTTCATAGTTAGATTTGTATTGGCAGCATTTAAAAACAATGCTTGTACTTGTTGAACATTGGTCCCGTCTCATTTTTCTTTCGAATATTATTCATCGTCGTCATCATTTTTATATTTATTCTCTCTGTGAATGAGAAGAAAAAAAGACGTCCGAAAATGTGATCTTTCTCTCAGCACTTCGTCAAAGTGACTGGTATACAATTTCGAGTAATGTGATCAATACTGTTGCTGTCATCACTTGTTAATTAATGAATGCTTCGAGCGAGAAAAAAACATGCTGATTCAATGCTGCCACAGTTTCTTAATCAATTAATTGAGTTGAAATTCTTTCCACTCACGAACTTAGTTTTATTCTATAGAATTTATTTTCATTTAAAAACCAAATGACATCGACATTCGTCACATAAATCCATCTAAGTTGATCAGCTGAAGGACAAAAAGTCATACAAAATCAATTTTTGAATATATGTACTCCATATATAAACTATAGATCGTTTTTTTTTCAACATTGAAAGAAAAATAAAATAATAATAAAAATACAAGAGAATGAGCAATATAAATAATACGCAAAGAAGCCGCATAATTTCCTGTGCAATACGTTATGAAAAAAATCAAACATGTGTCATTTATCAAAAGAAAGAAAAAACGAAGATAGAATGACTGGAAACGCATACACAGCATAATCAATAATAATCGCAATACATATATGGCGATTCACCCATTAAAAAAAGGCGACGAATCGAATTGAATAGCATGGAATCAAATTCGGTCTAAAAACTGTTCAGAGTTGCCATACGAATTTCTAGTCTCAAAATGTCAAAATGGAACCACAGCCAAACAAACAAAAATTATCTGATCGATTCGCCCAAAGCAGTTAACACTTCTAAACCCAGTTTGTCCATCACAATGTGAAAAACAGAATGACCGTGTTTTTCTTGTTTCATTTGCTTACTGTCTTTCGAGTTGTCTCTTCACTCTTGTTCTTCACTGCTTCAATTCATGAGTTTGATACAAAGCAAAACAAACTTATAATTAATATCTACACACAGAGAAAACTGAATGCCAAAAATATACAAAAAGAAATGGATGGGTTTTTTTCAGAAAATTTTACGTTTGTAATTAAAGAATAATTGTTTTTTGTGTTTTGTATTCGATGCTCCACTTATGTGCGTTGATTTACAACAAAATACATTGTATCAGCACAATGTGGCACAACAATTGCAATTTACGCAATAATAAAACCGACTTGGGTGCGTTTATTTTTCTTAAAATTCGCCTCACTCAATGACAACGTATTGAATACGGAGACTTTCATTTAATTGATAATATTTCCATGGCGTCATTTGTTTCCCAAAAACAAAATGTGAGTGATGTCTCGGTTTTGCTTAAAACAATCAACAACAAGAAGATAAGACAAAACCAAAATGACATTATTACAAACGAGACAGACGATTTATGTGGAAAAATATAATGTAGCCAGCTTTATTTTTCATTCAGACACATTTCAGTGCCAATAAACATATATTCTCGACAACATTCGAATGACAATTGAACGTTATGAAAAGCAAACAGTTTTGAAGTGCACTCAAAATGTATTTTTATTTTTCTGTCGTACATTGTATGTTTTATTGATTTTAATGGAGAAAGTTTGCTCCACTATAAATCTATTATTTCTTCTAGTTTTACCAAATCGCATGTGGGGGTTTTCCTATCATATGCGCAAAATTAATTCGTATTTTTCGCGAAACCTATTTAATTTCATTTGATTTGAATGCAAAATTTAATTGCATGGAAATTAATTTGTTCCAGTCATTTCAGCGCAAATCGTTAAAATCATATCTTGTGGTGTAAATTACTTACATTCACTCTTATGCTTCAATTTACTTAAGATACGCGTAAGCGCAGAAATTGCAAACCAACAATAAGAAAGGAACAAATCCATTGTCAAAACATATTAAGTGCATCTGCTGTCCACATTTAAAAACGAAACATGTCTGTTTTCATATTGATTTTCAAAATATTTTTCATCACAAATATAAATATGTATCGTTGAGTGTTTTTTTCTGTTGTTGCTATTGGTTCAGTGTTTGCATGTGTGTATACATGGCATCCCAAATATCTTGAATTGCGATTTTCGAAATTTTATCGCAACGCATTTTGAATAAAAATATCTTATTTTTTCTTTGCGCAATGAAAAATGCGAAACAGAAAGAAATGTACGAAGGCATGCCTTCATCGCTCAAACGTCAGTAAAATAAATGCATCGTAGCCGAAATACGCGCAAAATTTCGATGAGTGAGCAAAGAAAAATAATGAACAAATAACAGAAAAAAAAAAACGATATTTTGCATCAGAGAGCAGCGACAGCGAGAAAGAAGTCGAAGAGAACAAAAAAAAAAAGAAAGAAAAAAAACGGTTTGTACACACATCGCCGAAAAAACGCAAAATAAAAATGTCAAGCTGGCGACAAAAGAAAATGCTGCACCAACAACAACAGCTACATTTACGCGCGATAAAAAAGTAGATGAAGAAATGAAAGAATAAGAAAAAAAGTAAACAAAATCGATAAAACGCAAGCGATATGCATATGCTTTGGCTATGTAACATTGAAGCAATTGCATTTATTTCAACAAGCACAGTGTCACTAAGAAAATCGGTATGGTTCGTATGTGTGTGTTGGCGAGAGAGTTTTTGATGGGTTTTTATCTGGTTGGTTGGTTGGTCGGTCGGTCGTTTTTTATTGCTCTTCGTCTTTAATGTTCATTTTCAAAGAAAAAATTGCTTGTTGATTTCTCTCTCTCTCTCTCTCTCTCTCTTTCTTTATCTCACTTTCCCATTGTTATTGTTCGCGCTCGGTACACAAATCTTTTGCTAACTGCCAGCAACTCTTGTCAAAGATAAAAAAAAACATAATATGCAGAGAAAATCGTATATATCAAAGCGAACGGTTTGTTCAATGACATTAATGACTCTTCCTCTCTCTCTTTCCCTTTCGATGATACCACCAATGTTTAGCAATTGTCCCGAATTGTGGTTGAGTTAAAATTCAAATAGTATCAAGCCAGCGAACATATTAAATTTAACTCAATATACTTATTTATGATTCAAACGAAATGTTACAGTTATATTTACAGCAAATGAAATTTGGTTTGACTGAAATCCCTTCTCACAATAGCTCTCTATTGAGTATCGATATATTTTGCATGCTTATTTATTGCAGGTGGTTAAAAATATACATATATATATATTTATATATATTGGTTTTGTCAGTTGAGGTCAATCGATTAAGCACAGAAATGTCACACAAGAGACACACAAATTATGTGTGTATATGTTTGTGCTACCGCTGAAACTTCTATCATTTTAATTTATGAAATGCACCCAGTTCAGTCACATAAAAGCTAATGTGAAACTAGGTAATTAAATTTGCGCTGATTCGCATCGAAATTCTTATGTATGCTACATATATTGAAAACAATAATAATGACTAAAGTGATTTAGTTCGAGTTCATTTACTTCTTTTTGTTTTTTTTTGTGTGTTGAGGCTGCACAAGCTTATGAGCATCATCGGTGTAATTATCGTTAATCGCTTCATATATACAGCAACGCTTGGATCTTGACTTGATCACCGGCTTCTGTTGAAATCAAAGTCTGCGCGAGAACAGTGAGCAATGCCAACACTCTCAGCTTCCATCAGCAATTGCATTTTAATTGCAGCGGGAAACGCACGCAAAAATCAAGAAGTTCATACGCAGACCTTATTCACTTGTGCTCGATGTGTATGTGCTCGGAATGCAGATGATTGATGAAGTGCATATGCTGTTCACTTAATAATATTAACACACGCTCTTTTCTTTTACCGCATAGATTCAGGTTAATGAAAGAAAATTCTTTATATTATGTAATCAAAAATGCCAAGATAGAAGAGAAAGAGGAAAATAGAGAAATCACATTTTGTCATGTCGTTTCGTTCATCTTCATAACAAAATTATTATTTTGCCGTCGAGATTTGACGGGTGTGTCGGTGATCCACAGTAGTCATTTGCAGCACGTCTATTTCTCAAAGGCTAGCTAAATGGATTGTGTGAATAAAACGAAAACTAGCATTTTAGCGATTAAACGCAATGCATGCATCCCACTCGTTTTCACTCTTTGTTTCGTTTGGCTTTGTCTTTCCATTTCTTGTGGCTGAGTATAACCAGCCGAAACCGAAAATGGTCGGCGTGCATAAATGATTTTTTTTTTGTTCCACGGTGTATGTGTGAGCCGGAAAGTTTTGCATTCGAATGAGCATAGTAGAATATAAGCAAAAGATGACACTAAAGATAATTTATCGTAACGGTACATCGGAAAAGTCTTGTCACATTGCAAACAAATATTTTTTTTTTTTTTTATGGAATTTTACATAAAATATAATAATTTTGCTGATCAAACAGTAAAGTTGTCATAAATTTAATTAGAACTTGCTCGAAACGTTTGTTGAATTTTATGCCGACAAAAAATTGTTCGTTTTCAGCGAAAAATTTTCAATTAAAATGAATAATAAAACTTACCTCATATTCGGCTGATAATGAGTACAAGACTTCGTGCTGTACGAGTTGGTAGTCGCCGTCAGCACCGCTGCTGGCTCGTTTACTAGGGGCTTGCGTATTCGCATGGCTCCCTGACGTAGCTACTTTAGTATGTGCCGTTTTGTTGCTGTTTGATGGACCAATTACTGGTCCTCCTGATGATATTGCAATTGTGTTACTGCTGTCGACACAACCACATCCACACTCACCACCTGCCGACAGAAAATAGAAAGCAAGAGAAGAAAAAAAAAACATTAGAATAAGCAAACAAATCGAATAAACCGTATTATAAATAACGAAATGCCATTTAGGCTGGCCTGTAAAATGAATAGTTGAAATCCACCGCATCAACAGACAACAACAAAATGTTCACTAGCAACGTGTATTGTTGTCATATTAGAGTATAACGAATAATTTAGTTTGTGACAATAATAACAATAAATAAATGCAGACGGAGTATATGGGACCAGAAATAAAAAGAGAGCAATAAAAACAAACATTTTTACTTGGTAGACAACAATGGCAATAGCAACGGCAACGGCAACGACTGAAACAAACTGGCGGTTGAAGAACAACAACTAAAAACACATTCACATTTCTCCGAATGTTTGCATAAACCATTTTGTTAATTAGAATAAATGTTACAAATTCGAACAGTGCAATGAAAATAGAAGATAACCATTTTACACGAAACGGAATATCAAATGAGTTGAATTCGGTGAATATAATAATATGAACAAAGAACCAAAAAAAAAGCAACAACGCACACACAATATTTTGAGGCAATGACAGAAAAAATAGGGAGCCCCCAACCATAAACTGCATTATGCAGGTATTGTGCATGTGTGTGTGTGTGCAAACGACCATTATTTGTTAGTGGTTCTTTTCATGTTTGTCATAAAAGCATGACTTCTCATTCGGAAAACCAACAGATAAAAATTAATGAAATTTATACAGTATTGTTAATTTTTTTGTTTATTTGTTTGTTTCATGTGCGTTTGTATGCGATTTATTCCGCGTGCGTCAAATGAAACTATATATATGGGCGATAATCGTACATTTGTAAGCAAATTTATTTGGTTCGTCTAGATAGAATTCGTACATATTTTCGGAAGTAGTAGTTAGGCAACGAATCAAGGTTATAGATTTAATGCAGGAGAGAGAGAAACATTGATCGGTGAAAAATAAACCAATTAAAAGCGCAATAATAAAATCGGGGGGAAATCAAATTTTCACACTGGAAAAAGACTACGGTAATTAATTTTGGTTATCATTATTTTGTTATGTTATTTTGATTTGAGCATTGCTTGTGTGTTATCGCGCTTGTCTGCGACAAAAATATGTCGAAATGATACAATTGCATTTGTAATAAAGACAAAACCAATTTATTTAGATTTTGTTCTTCATTCAGAGCTCGAGAATAATAATACTTTTGAAATGGAATATTAATTTGTACTCAATTCATAGTTGGTATTTTTTTCTCTGCTTCCATCCGGTGATGACGGCCAAGTAAACCATGCATATCGCTCACATTCTTTCCACATTTTTTTTCTATTACTTCTGTTTTCGGCGATGAATTATTCCAGAAATAGATTCAAAGTCTAGTATTAAGCCGTTTTGAAATGCTGTTGAAATCCGAGTGACTTTTCAATGATTTTTCAATTCGATGTAAATACACACGTTACACATTTGCAAAACGTAACGAATTCACTGTGCTCAATTGAAAAATGGCAGAAGGGAGAATAGCGAATCCGATTTAATCTGAATGAATCACACACGTATGGCATGAGAAATGATATGAAAAGTCAAGATTCACGGTTCACATCGTAATATTGTATTATTCGACAATTGACAACCAAACATTTTCTATGGTATAACTATAAATCAAATCAAAATTCATTGACGGAGTCTGACGTATGTTGAAAATGTTGGCTTGATTTCATTTGCGTTAATCAATCTTGGCAAAATCAATTCCATACAGCAAACCGGAAAAGATTGTTTTTATTTTTTTTATTTTTTTTTTTGTTCACATTGTACGTTCGAATCGCGTCAATTTACATTCGAAATATTGGAAAAATTTCTTTGAAAATTTTGTGCAATGAATAATTTTCAATTTCAGTTTTTTTTCTCTTGTACTTTATGTTACTTCACCTAGATTTGCAAACAATGCTTATTTTGTACGCATCACGTGTTCAGCGCACATCCTCAACAATTCCAATTGTCTAATCATAAATTTACTCATTTAAATTGTATTCGTTTACAGTATCGGAAGTTAAACGAGGGGAGAGAAGAAAGAAAAGTACAACAAAAGTTGGAACATTTTCTGAACTTTTTATAATGTTTTTTATTAACACAACATCATTTTACATCGACTGCTTCTATGCTTATATCGACACAATCTCAGCTTTGCTACCATTCCGATATTGCATTTAACTGGATCATATTTTCTATTTGATTGTGTGTTAAATTATTCGCATTTTTTGCTTCTCTAATCAAGTGCCAATGGATTTTTGTTGTTGTTCACAAATGAAATCATTCGAAATATATCGAAAGGTGTCGTAAGTAAAACGAGTTGATTGGATCAAATCAAATCTATGTTTTAGATTTTATAAATGACGGTACACATACCTGATTCACGCTTTCGCTTCGATGCAATTCTCGGTTGTTGTTGTTGTTGCTGCTGCTGCTGCGATTGCTGCTGTAACATCACTAAGGTCACAGAACGTATTCTCAATGCAATGGTTTTTTTTTTGGATTCGTATTAAAATCTTCTACGAATGAATTTCACGAAAATAATATTGAACGAAAAAAAAAATAGATAGAGAGAAGAGAGCGTATATATTTTATGCTGTATATATATGCTTATTACTTATAAAATCGACTCTTATAGCGACTTAAAAAGTCGGTGAACGAACGAATCGAAATTCGAACATTTATATTTTACGCGCTCAGTTTACACTTGACATTTTGCCACTTTTAATTTTATTCTTCGTTTAATATGTGTATGTTTTTCACGTTTAACTTTGTTCAGGTTTTCAACAAAAGTTTGAAAAATTTGTTCAGGTAAAAGTATTGTTCCAGATATTGTTGAGAAATCATTCCAATTTACAGCATCGATCACTAACACCGATATGGATAGGTATGGTTATTTGTAACCAACTCATTCGTTTCTAAATTGACGGAAATTCAAAACGAAATAAATCTCACGAAATTAATTACTCGCTGACAAAGTTGTTTTTTTTTTTAAGTAGATGTTTTTCTTCTTCTCTTCTGTCGAATTTGGTTTTTTAATCGGGCGTAAATGATGGAAAAATGCATTTTTCCACAACAATATTCATAACAAATTTGTTGAAATCCAATCAATCGACTCCATTCTCTTTTGTAATTTATTTATTTCATTTTTCGAATCATTGTGTGAATTTTAATTACACGACGTCGAAAAGCACAATGTAAAAATGGCTACCATTGCAAACAAAACAAACTGGTTACACTGCACATACACTTCATAAATACGATGAATTCTTTCGTCTCGATTTCATTATTCAATTTTTGTCATAATACGTTGAATTTTACAAAAATTTATACAAAAAAAATTTAATTTAAACTCAATTCGATTTGAATATCCATTTAATTGTATGTCCAATGATGAAATTATATGTATTTGAAATTGAAAATGACACGATCAACCTTTTCACCACTCACAATACTTCAACGCACTGAAACCTTTTCTCCGTCGATTTATTTTGCTTTGCCCGTGCCGTAGTAGTCTTGTTATTAACAGTGGATGACATGAAATATTTTGCGTTATGTTCACAGCTAAAATAAGGTCATGTGACCGAAACTCGACGATGTGATTGGTTGACGGGTGTCGATTTACCGATTGGAAAGCCGTTGGTACAACGCCTGTGGCATTTGTGTGAGTAGATTTGCATTGGTATTGGTGTACCGTCAAGTCAAAATTAACAAACTTCAATTTTGTGTTCGTTCGAACCATATTACCACTTTGATGTGCATTTGATACATTTTTCGCATACAATATTCTACCGATGAATGGTATATGAACAAAGTTCGTGGTATTTACAATTCTAAAAAAAATTCGAGGAGAAAAAATAAAAAATGGTGAGAGAAAAACACAGTTTTTTTTTCTTCAAACGGATACGTAAACGAGTACGTTCTTATTCGAAACCATTTCCAAATTTCGTATATCGAAACTGACAATTACGTAAAATGTGACACTGATATCTACGTAGAGCAGTCTGTCAAAGAATTAATATACGCTTGACCACTGTTTCGGAGAATATATTTTTGTGAGTAACATTCACACAATATTTATATAAAATAAAGCATGTGGATAAACTTTGGTGGCAAAAGTGATCCTGAAAACCAGTCTCTGATAATCGAAGAAAATTAGTCAATTTTTTAATTCTCGTCCAAAATAGTTCCAAATAGCATGTCACAAGCCGTACCGCCAGTTCATTCAAGGCGTCCTCGACCAGAAATGAATCAAAACAATGCCAATGAACCTATAACAGCGGCCCGATTCGGTGAAACCGAATGGGAGGCACGCGAGAGGGGGTAAGCACGTTTCCACTATAGAAGAATTGCCATCCACTGTTTTAATTATGTTTCCATAACGTTTTATTTTTTGTTCTAACTCTCCCTCAGGGCACGCGATGTACGGGATGTAAGTACATTTATTTTGAGTCGACCAAAAACCATTTGTTATGATTGAATTGTTTATCTTCTTTAAATTGCACAGTCACAGCGACAACGTGAGTTGGAAGAGGCCAGAGCACGGGCTTCCCAAATGGAAAAAACCATGAAGTGGTGGTATGTAAATAATTTACACTTTTTTGTCTATATTGAAAATGAATAAAAAAACAATTGGTTTCGATTGAAATTCCAATAATATTCATTGCAGGTCTGATTGTACTGCGAATTGGCGTGAAAAATGGTCAAAGGTATATATTATTTTGAAAAAAAAAAAAAAATATTTTTCGATATTTCGTATCAAATGGAAAATTTGTTTTAAAATTGAAATTTCAAGGTGCGAAATGAGCGAAACAAAGCCCGCGATGAAGCAAAACAGCTCCGAACTAGTCTGGAAGCGGCTATAAAAGAGTCAAACTCATATAAACGAGAGAAAAACGAGCTCGAACTACAAATAAATCAGTTGAAAAAAGAGATGGAAAAAGTCCATTTACTGATGATGAAACATGCAGGACAATTTAATGGAAATAGTGAGGAACACGAACGTGATGGTAGAGATAATTCAAATTGTTCACCAGACGTTTCATCAGATGGTCTTAAGAATGTGAATAGTGAAGATGGTTTAGTCACAAATTCAACGTCACAAGAGCAAAATGAAAAACGTGATACCGAAATTGAAGAATATGTTTTACAAGGTGCTGTCCCAAAGCATGTCATTGAATCATTAAGAAGTGAAGGTACGTTTGTTTTTAATTGTAGATGATATGTAATGACCGCTATGTTTCGTTTTGTTATCCGTTTTATCTTTATTTTAGAAGATCGCCGAAATAGTGCGGAGGAGCGCCGACTTATCCAACAATTGTCAAAGGATGATTTCGATGAAGAATGTCTGATGCAACAGATCTCTATGCTACAACTTAAATTAGATGAAAGCCGCAAGAGTGTGCAAACTGAAAGAGAGTACGTACTTGATTTAATAGGAATTGAATTTGTAGAAATTAAAGAATTATCATTTTCAGAGAAAAAACCAATTCGTATAAAACCATCGAAAAATTAACGACAGAGCTGGAGGATATTAGGGAAAAATATGAAGAAATTTGTACGGCTAAACAAGAAGCCGTTCGTGAACTGTTAACACTGCAAGAGCAACATAAGGCCGAATTGAGAATATTGACAAATTCTCAAATAGAAGAAGCCAATGCCCGCGAAAATTTGGAACGTAAATTATGCGAAATTCGATCAGAGGTAGAACGATTTTTTTAATTTTCTTATAAATTATGTTCGATTTATGTTTCAAATTCAAAAACTTTTGCAGCTTGAGCGTTTGCAAGCCGAAAATGCAAACGAATGGGGCAAAAGAGAACGCCTTGAAACCGAAAAATTGGCACTTGAACGAGATAACAAAAAAATGCGCAATGAAATTCGCGACTTACAGGTGAGTTTTGACGACTGCAAAAGGTCAACGGTCAGATTCATTAATTTATACTTATTAGGAACGAGCCGATCGACGCGGAAGACCAATTAACAGTAATAACGATGCTGAGATACGTAGCCTTCAGCAAGAAATAATGGATAAAAATAAGGTAGAAATCAAATACCATTTCAAATCTTGATTTTAATAAACAAAACCAAAAAAATCAAATAGGAAATATTCGAACTTCGACACTCGCACAGCAAGTTTAAAAAGATGCTTGCCGAAACCAATACAGAGTTGGGCCATGCCGTACGACGTGCTGAACAGTATGAAACTGAGGTGAAACGATTAAGAGCACGTGTCGAAGAATTAAAGCATGAATTGGCCGGCGCCGAAGATGAAATTGATAGTCTTCAAGCACAAATTCAACACTTACAGACGAGGTAAGGTCAATTGTTTTTTTGTTTGCTAATGCCGCACATTTTTGTACATATGCAGATACTAAAAAGTGTGTGTGTGGACGGGTGGGTGTGTGTGTGTGGGTGTGATGTACTAAACTAACAAAATGATAATTAATGAAAACGAATTAACTCTCACTTAATCGGACGCTGCTTTTTTGGCTGCTTTATTAATCATGATTTGAAAACCATTAAAACAAAAACAAAAAAAATGAACCTAATACGCACACCATTATGCACAAAACACGCTGAAATGAACGATAAATGAATTGATAGAAATTCAATAAGTCCAAAGCATCATTCAAGCTCAAAACCGAATTATCCACTCGAATGCAAACCGAATATAAATGATTTGCGTCAATTGTTCGACGATAATTCGCGAATCGATAATAACAAGAAAATCCATCGTCATTCAGCCATTTATGCCGATGCAAAACATACATCATTGGATGAAAGTATATTTGATTATAAGGGCAATGGTGGAGGCGGTGGTGGCCGGGATGGTGGTGGTATTTATCATCAGTCACAGTCAATCGTAATGGCCGCCATACCATCGTCTCGTCATCCCGATTTCGAACGTGTTAAACAAAAATTTGACAAACCGGTATCGAATTCCACATCATCATCGTCGAATACGCGCAATGGCAAGAAAGCCCGAAATTTCAGTAGTTTTTTGAAGTTCAGCAACAAACGCGGTGATTCGATTCCAACATCATCGAATTGTGACATATCATCACAGAATAAATTACCCAACAATTCAAATTTAACCGAGTCGATTGATTCCGTTGACAGCACCAAAGCCATAGCTGGTGACAGTTTGAGCAATAAGAAAATCGATGCATATATGCACAGTAGCATTAACATTGATGGACTCAAATTTTCTGATGACGACGAAGTAAGTATTTGGCGCAAATAAATTCAATCGTTTTACGTTTGTGTGTGTGTATTTTATCTTATGAAACACGAAACAACAACTACAATTTGCGAACCATGTGTCTCTTCGTGTGGCTTTTTTTCATTCTATATCTTTTTTTTTTTTTTCATCAAATTAGTGTGCGGTGCAGAGATCAATCAAGGCTACTAAAAGATGGTTGTTAATATTTGATTGCATGTTTTCTTTGAAAAAAAAAAAAATTATACAAAATTCGCATTTTGATCGAATAAACATCATCATTTTTATTTTCCGTTCGTACTTCCAAATTACTCCCTTTCGCCAATTTCTTTTGTCATATGTGTATTTTATAGTTTTCTTCATTCAAACATGTTTAATCATAGATTCATTCAGCAATGAATCGTAGATTTATTTTTTACAAATAACCCATTAGCGATTAGTATAGTTATTCCAAAGATGGGCTTAACACAAATGTCCATAAAACTATGGTAAACAGCATGTACTACTTGTGTTAAGACCTTCTTTTATTCAGATTTATAGTCGTTTTGATTAAAAACCAAAATTCAATTTGATGTATATATTTTCTTGTGTCGATTTTACATAGGCACCGTAATAACGATCCCAAAAATTTGCCGGGAAATGAGGAAACGAGTGATGACTGAAGCAGCATAAACGGACACATTCTTCTATTTCACATCCACAATTTCATTTAATTAAGTACTTCCAATAGGACTCATCATCATTTTTTATGCTCACGAGAATTTTGATAGATATATTTTTCTTTTCAAATTCGTTCGCACTTGTGGTAATCGCGCTGTATCAATTGAATTCTTCAATGAGACTGATGGCGACCACGGTTCTAAAGTAAATGTTTATTTTATTTTATCCAAACTTTGGTGCATTATAATTTAGATTAAGTTTGTTTCTGGATCATTCCAAAGACTTATCACTCAAGTCAGATTGAATTCATCGTTCATTATGATCGTTCTTCACATCACACAATTTTAATATAACATTCATACATTTAGATTCGTTTATAATTTTACGAATAATCTCAACATACTCTAATCTCAAAAGTCACTTTATATTTTTTTTATTCTAAATTTAGACATTTTTTAAGATGATAAAGTGAAAATAATGATTTGTAAGTGATTAATTTTTTCTTTGACTGTGAAACTTTCGAAAAAGAATTTTTTGTCCTCCGAATTGTAGACAAAGAGCGCCAAGTCATTATTGCGCCAAAACAAAAACTTTACAAATTGTATAAATAATGATAAGAACAAAGCAAATTTTTTTTCAGTATATGAAAACATTCTCAAAATAATAATAAGTTTATGGATTAAACAATGAAATTTAAACTGTGACTTTTTTTACTCTTTATCCAGTTTTCATTAGTATTCATTCATTAACGCATTAATTTACTTGAAAGTATTTGGCTTGCATTTTTTGGATTTATTCTCGTTTGTTTTCGATAATTGCTTAAAATACACATAATTTTTCGAATCATTCGGGAACGAATGCCAAATGTCATTATGAACGGCTTGGAAATGAAATGAACTCATTTTTTGCTTGTAAGTGCCATCTGTATGATAGATGAGGAACAACGCAAAGTTTGAATTGTATCTGGCTCAATTTTTGAAGAACACATTTTGATGCCTATGAAAATAAAAGCATTTTACATGAAGTCATTTGGACTTTTGTTTCTTTTTGTTCACTTCAAAAAATATTTTTAGCAAACATGCAATTATAACAAGTTTGGCTTTGAATACTTATATTTCAAAGTTTACATTCAAAACTTAAAGAAAGTTAATGGTTTCCCCTTCATTCCATTTATCTTCCGTTTGATATATTTATTAAATTTAAAGTGTGATACTACATTAAACTGTGATATTAATATTTGGAAAATATATTTGCTATCAGGCGATGGCAAAATTGCAATTTTTGATTTCAAATATAAATGGATTTTTGCCCATGTGATTGATGTTTAAAATGGTAAAAAATTGAAATACTTAATTCAAAAAATTGATCCGAAAATGGTTGGCATTAAGAAAAGATTCTGGTATGAAGTATATGTTATTGTTGAATTTGAGCGGGTAGTAAATGTGTTAAATCTGAAAAATTCAAAACTTGCAAGGACAGCACTTATACAAAACAATGCTAGCGGCTAATAAAAATTAAGCTTATCAACTTTTATTTGTATTATTTTTCTTGTTTACTTTTTTTTACCGAAATGAATTTGTCTTACTTACGTCTAATCAAAGATTCATCATCTCTAATTAAATTAGTTACACTTAGAACAAATATAGAGATTTAAATGTTTTGGCAGTTTTTTATTAACCGAATGTACTTTATCTCATTAACATAGTGTAGGTATGTGTATGTGTGCTAGTATTTTGTGCGGGAGTGATAAAATCATCCAATAAGTACATACAATCAAATTTAAAAAAAAAATCATTTTTTTCAGTGTTAGACCGTTACAAAAAATTCAATAATCTTTTCTTTCTTCTTCTCTTATGGAACAAATTCAAACATAAATACTATTATTAGTTTATCTGACGACAGAAAAAAGTTTTTGATTTGTTTTTGTTTTTAAATGCCTGCTTATTTTGTTGTTGTTTTTTTAAATGTATGTTTTGTTTTTTGATTTAGCATTTTCCGTTGGTTGGTGTTTTCGGTCGGCAAATTTTGCTGCGACCATTTGAACCGTACACAATGTTACATGAGAATGTGAAATAGCCGCATGTCGAACTCTTTGTGTAGTAAGTTGATTCGAATTTCTTATCATCGGTTTGTGTTGTTTTGGCATTATCTAAACTACCGCTAACTGACTTTGTAACAGTTACATAAGTATCTGGTTTGACATCGACCTTGGTTTCGTCGTCATTGCTCAGTCGATTTTTCAGCGATGATGTTAAATTGTTTTTTTGTCGTTTATCGTCGATTTTACCCTTGAATCCATCCGGCACAATTTCACTGCGAATGGCCGGCATGCGATGGGATGGCATCACCTTTGTCGTTGGAATGGCGGTTGGTTTTGTATGCAACGTAGCTGTTGTTGTCACATCAGTTGATTTTAATTTGCCTGGTGTTGCATCCAAAACGTCTTTTTGTGGCAATTCAACTTCCATGCGACTCGTTTTGGTGGCGGTTTTTTTCGTTCCATTTGCTTTTTCAGTCGTTTCATAATCATCATCGTATGCATCTCCACCCTCATCGTTCGTATAGTCATCCTCAAGCGATGAATCGTCTGGTGTTACATCTGGTGCAAGTGCTGTCAAAAAATGTCATAATTCATTGAAATTGAAGTTATTGGTCGCATAAGGGAATAAACAAACTTACAAGTTGGTTTCGCTTTAGATCCAATGTCATTTATGTTGGCAATATCGGATACTGGTGCATTTGTAACTGCATCACGATTTGCTCGTGTGAATTGACCGATCGATTGGAAGAGTTTTTTACTTTTTTCTCTGTAAGATATAACTTGCTCTTTGGTGCCTGAAGCTGCCTGTGCAGCACCGTGATATGAAATGCCCAATCTATAGGAGAACATGGTAGTTGAAATGGAAATCGAATCGATTTAAAAACTCATCGATGTGATACATACTTGAAGTTGCCTTGAATTTGTGACTGACTCAATCCTGAGTGTACTCCAGATTGAGCAGAGGCTTGGCCACCACCATTGAAGATATTTGAACCTTGACTTTGAACGGATTCACCTTCTGGTCTGAAACCGATTTGTGCTTGTGACGATGTTTGTCCTATTTGAATAAAAATAAGCATTTTATTTTTATTTTGGCCGTCCATAAAAGTTTTTTGATATCAATAAAATAATTTACCTGGCCCGCTGCTTTGTGCATCAGCTAATCCACCCTTTTCGTTGGCCGTTACTTCAGATTGGCTGTTATGTGCCAAACCCGATGTTTGGCCACTAGCTGATGTGCCGCCAGTTTTTTCATTAACTTCAACTTGTGCTTGAGCCTGTGATTTTCCGCCTGAACCTTGTGACGAACTCAATGCACCGTCTTTATGACCAGACACCTATATGATGGAATTGAATTGAATCATCTTCGATGAAGAATTTTAATTTTACAATGAAATTATGCAATTTTCTTACTTGAGCTTGTGCCGAACGATCTTTGTCGGCTGTTTGAGCAGATGCAGAGAATGAACCAGTTCCACTGTATGTACCTTGAACTTGTGTTTGGGCAGTACCGCCATTCTTTGTTCCTTGAGCGCTAGCTACTACTTCACCATTTTTAATCGATGATTCGGCTTGTGAAAAACCATCTTCATCACCGCTTGCTGCACCACCACTAACTTCACTTTCGCCCGTTCCAACTACTTTGCCATTAAAGGAACCACCACCTAATTGTCCACCACTATAAGTTGATTGTTTAAAAGTTAACGCTTTTTACTCTTACTCGTCAGTGGTATTCTTTCATTTAAATCGAAAGGAATTTTCTCTTACCTTGGATAGATTGCGATGTTATCTGCTGTTCCAGGGTAACCTGTTGTTGGATATGCTGGCAATCCAGCAGTGCCACCGCCTACCGATGTTGGATATTGTGGTAAGTATTGTCCAGCACCTGTAGTTGTTTGTTGCGTTTGACCTAAGTCACATTTAATTGTCATTTAAATGTAATTTATGAATATTTTTTATTTATTTAACATACTTGGTCCAAATACACTTGGGTATTGTGCTACACCACCTGCTTGTTGTGTACCTCCAGATGAAATGGCACCACCAGATACCGGAGCACTACCACTTTCGTCAGTGCCACCAAATCTCGGTTGTGCTGGGCCACCCGATGGATATTGCTGTCCACCCATTGGTGTTTGACCAATTGGTTGAAAACCAGGCCATTGACCGGTTTGAGATGGGATTTGCCCTAAATTGTGAATTGTCACACAAACATTTTAATATTTACACATTTTAACTGAAACAACGTAATAATTTACCTGTGGGCAAGCCTGAAACGCCACCAGTTTGTAGATAACCGCCTTGCTGTTGCACACCTAAATTTAGATTAAGTTGATGTTATTTTTGTATTTTATTTATGTTAAGTCGTATACATACCAGGAATTGGTGATGCTGGCAACAATATAGCTCCGGTTGATGTTTGACCTATTGAAAGTTATTCACTGCTTTATATGTACTTTTTATACCATACAAAATTATGTTACCTGCCGGTTGATATTGTGAAAGACCCGGTTGAGATTGTCCTAATGAAAATTATTAATTTGAAAAATATTTTCGATTTTAACCCACAATTTTTTTTCGCTTGATTTACCTGGAAGAACTTGTGAAAGTGATGGAATTTGAGATCCAGTTGTAGGTGTTGTATATTGAGGATAACCGCCACCCAATAAACCTGTAAAACAAAATGTAATATTTTCTTTTTTCAGATATTATTCCTTTCAATTTCGTAAAAAAAGAATATATTTTAAATGTGATAAAAACCTTGTGATGTTGTCACACCTGGTACCAATGGGCCTAAGAAAAATAAATTCAAATTTGTTACATACATTCATACATGCGGTCGGTTTTTTTCTGGAAGGGATACATGTAAAAATTCGGATTTTCAAAAGGAAGAGAGTCAACATTATAAAAATTCTAGGAGGAGGTCAATCCAGATTTTTTATTTATTTATTAACTGAATATTTGAAGTGAATATTAATTGCAACACCATTACAGCACTTCTGTAAAACACTTTTGTAATGAATATGCACAAAAATGTATTACAAAAAATGCAAAGATAAAAGGTTGTATGTTTAGTTTGGTTTGCCAAATTGAATTAAATATACCGTATTTTTTCTCTCTATGTATAGTCGTTTCCAAAAAGATCTGTGTTGTCAAACTAATACAATGCATTTCGGAACGCATTTCCATTCAAAAGTACACAAGGCTCCTTAGTTAAACGTGTCAATTTGGTTTGAATTTTGTTGAGGGTATGTTGTTTGTTCAAAATTTTGACAGTTCGCTGTAACAGATCTTATTGAAAACGACTATACTTGAATCATTGGTGAGGGAAATGCGGACGTGACCAAGCATGGGATCAATCAGGAAATTCTAGTGCATCTAGTTTTTGATAAGATTTCACTAGAAAACTAGAAAATTCTAGAGCGTGAAGTTGGCTCTCAGTAGTTTTTCATATAAATTATATGGCCTTTGGTGTGAAGTTGGCTTCGTGTGTGACGTCAGTCTTCGCACTAGTTTTACTACTTTTTACTAGGTTCGCCCCATGTGACCAAGCCACCAGATCCCCCCAATGCGCATGTATGATGCATTATATTGAAAGTTGGTGATAAATGTGAAAATACCTTGTGTATATGTTGGCACTTGTTGAACACCTCCTTGTGGATACTGACCAGACGGAGTGCCCGCTTGAGTATATTGTTGTCCCAACGGAAAGCTAGCTTGTGGATATTGGCCTGAAGGAGTACCAGTTTGTGGATATTGGCCTG